ATATATATATATATATATATATATAGCATATAATAAAATGTATTAACACATACATTAATAAGATACAGCAATATAAATGATATTATAAAAGGCGTCTGCCTTGCCATTTTTGTTGCCTAGGCAGGCACCTAGTTGCCTAGAAGGGCGCCTAGTTGCTAAAAGTCAAGGCGTTTGGGCAAGGCGCCCAGCCAAGGGCATCTAGTCACCTAGGCGATGCCTAGGCGACACCTTGACAACTATGCTCCTACCCTTTGTTTCTGTGGTTTGGAATTGGTTTCTCTTTATTTGGTTGTAGATGGAACCCCCCCTCCAGTCTCCACTACTACCACCGAATGTACATAGCTTGTTTGCTCCCTTTTCTGTTAGAGGGTCAAAGAAGAGAGGTAGAATACTGTGGAGATGTGCTAATTCAAATGGTTGACAAGAGATATGGAAGTGCCTTTCAATCGGAACAAGTGATGTGCTAATTCCCTAAATGATATGTTGGCTAAACCTGGGGGGGGGGGAGAAACTTTGTTCACACAGTTGTGAGGAAAATGGGGAGAGAGAATAGATTTGATCTCTCACTGACTTTTTACACATTGTATCGTTAATTTGTAAAATCCCTTCTCCTTTAATAAAAAGTTTACTGTTATCGATCAAAAGAAAATACTGTGGAGATGTGCAAGAGCAGCTGTTTGTTGGACAGTTTGAGAAGAAAGAAATAAAAAAAAAATTCTCTGAGAAAGAAAGGAAGTAAGGATGTCATCATTGAAACCATAATTGTTAGAGTGGTTCATTGGGTCAAGCCTATGAAGCTCTTTAAAGGTATTTCAGCGGGTGATTTATTTAAAAATTGGAAGGAAGTGGCTTTTTCAGCTTCCCCCAAATCTGTGACTAGTTCGCTTTGGTCCCCTCCATCTGTTGGTTTCAGTAAGTTGAACTTTGATGGAAGCAGTGAAGGTAATCCGGGCCCTTCAGGTATAGGAGGATTATTTAGGGATGAGGAAGGGAAAATTATTGCTCTGTATTCAGGCCCTATTGGAGTAGGCGATTCCCTAAGAGCCAAGGTTATGGTGGTTTTGGAAGGGATAAAGAGAGCAAAGAAGTTAAATATCAGAAAATTGGTTGTGGAAGGTGACTAAATGCTGGCTATAGGCTGGCTTCAAAAAGAAAAGAATGGGGTTTGGAAGTTTACAAATGAGAAAAAGAAGTTTAAATGGCTGACCCAGAACATGGAGATAAAGCTACAATGGATCAAGAGAAGTGCAAATTCCTTTGCGGATGCACTTGCTAACCAACGGGTGGGAAGAGACTGTCTTTTTTTGGCATTGTTGCAATATGTGTTTTGTTCTCGGGGAGGGTTAAGAGATTTTACCCCTCCCCTTGCTCCTTTATATCTGCTTCGCCTTTTTAATAAAAGTTCTGTTATTTATCAAAAAAAAAACAGTTACTGTCAAGCTAACAATCCAGCCAGAAATAAATATTACCATAACCCACAACCCGTCTACAAGGTCTAAATTGAGAATATGAGGAATAATATTCTCATTGATCTGCCCTTCTGTAAGGTCTAAATTTCAGTTTCCATATTCATCTAGGACATCTCAAAGTTTCATCCCATAATCAATCACTGCCTCATCGTTCTTGAACAGAGAAAGAGGTTACCCATCAAGACAACAATCCAGCCAGAAATAAATGTTACCATGACCCACAAGTCTACAATAAGTACTCATCAAAGAATATGCTTGTTCTTTAAAAACATCACTTTGAAGAATCTTGGCCAGATAGAGTCAATCATTATAGGAGTTTTGTGTTGTTTAATAGTTGGCTTTTTATACCTTGTACTGTATGGCCTGCCACCTGCAACCTATAATTTGGGTTTGTCAGGAAATTTTGAATACATTAATGCAATCAGCTCTGTTACTTATCATGGAAAAAAGAACATAATTCTTGGTCCCTGGAGGTCTGGATTGCCAAGATTTGACCCATAATTGGATGGTTTGGATTGCTATACATTATTTTGTATTGGAGAGTATAATAAGCATTACAATGCACTTTGGGGTTGGCATTTGAAAATTATGTTTTCACTAAAATATGTAACTGAATTTAAAATGGAAGAGATTAAAATAAATGTTTGAATGTCTTTTTTAGTAAACAATTTGAAAATCTGTATTAATGAATCACCAATATACATAAAAACAGTACATGTTTGAATGTGTATTTGTGAACTATAGACTCTTTCAGAATAGGGGATTTCAATATTTTCCCCTAGAATAATGCAAATGATCTGTTTATCATGCAAAACTAGGAAAGTGAGGCAACATCATAATGGTCTTGATCCAAATACTTTTCCGTTTTGGTTGGAGATGGCACATGAGCTTCATTTATGGCCTTCACTTTTTGTTCATTTTTTTTCAATCTTTGCAGCTCTTTTCATGATGACTTGCAGTCTATATGCTTTTTGATTGGTCAAAGGTTAGCGTAGATTATACTTTTAACAGAAAGAATCACTGTAGATTACTAATATTGAATGCCGATTTTCTTACAGGATATTGTAGAACAGCTAACACCGGAGACAATCTCCCATTTTGGAGGATCAATTTTGACAAGGATTTCTCAGTTGTTTGATAAATATGTGGAGTCTTTGATTAAATCCCTACCTGGCCCTTCTGAAGATGAAAATCTCACAGAACAGAAGGATGCCATACACTTCAAGGCTGAAACAGATGCCCAACAGCTTGCACTTTTGGGAACTGCATATACTGTTGCTGATGAACGATTACCAATGGCTGCATCAAGGATTTGGAACACACAGAATGAGAGCAAGGAACAAGGCAGTGTGTCAACTGAAAATGCTGGGTCTGTAGCAAGTAATATTATAGAATTTAAAGAGTGGAGACGCCTTCTCCAGCACTCATGGGATAAGCTTAGAGATCATTTCTGTCGCCAATATGTTTTGAGCTTCATTTATTCAAGAGAGGGTAAAACAAGATTAGATGCACAGACATATTTAGATGGTAAAGGAGAGGATCTCTTCTGGGGCTCTGACCCACTGCCTTCTCTGCCATTCCAGGTGATCCACCTTCAATATTGTTTTAAGCATCCTTTTTAGATCCAATTAGCTTGGACAAACCACAAACACACATCAATGCTTTATAACAGAGACGTGTGATGCAAGTCTTTTTACTGTCCAAAGGCATGAGCCTAAACCAAAATGCAAGAGGTGTAAGCCTCTAGAGCATGGATTTTTAAAATTAATGTATAATTACAAATAAAGAAATGTATAAGAAAACATAATAAAATCCTAAAAAATAGAAAAATTATGAGAAATTAGAAATTTTCATATTTACAATTTCTAAGAAAAGAATTATCACATTTAAATATAAAATTGAAGTATCACACCATCACCACATGGAGTCATAATCCATAATTATGTAAGCATCACCATTCACACATCACTTGCAAAGTTGCAAATCAAAAGTTCAGAATAAATGATTCACATAATTTGCATGGTATTAACATAAAAATGTTTGTCATCTCATATCCAAATGAACATAAAGCATTGAAACCAAACAAAGCAATGGTGCCTACACCTCTGTTTATTGTATTATGTTATATAAGTATTATAATAAGCAAGTTCGGAGAGTTTTCTTCCTTTCTATATATTGGTATGTAATGGAACACAATGACACGGTTCTCTTACTTTTATTTATAACATTATATTACAAAAATTGGCTTAAAAGGCAAGGGCATATGAGGAGTATGCTCTAGTATAAAGTGCAACAGAGGCATATGCTCATAGTACCTAGAGTTGTCCTGCTTTCTAAGTTCTTGACTTCTTGCTTTATCTTTGGTGGACAACAAACATTCTACATGCCTTTTCCTTCCCATTATTCATTCCTAATCACCTTTAGCCCTTCCTTAACCCTATAAAGCCCAACACTAGATCTAAAACCTGTAGGGCCCCTACCCTGTCCTACATCAGTTCGATGCAGATAAGGAAGCAAGGAAAGAGTCCAGGGAAAATAAATCCGTTTTTTCCATTACTACACCAATTTCTGAATTTATGGGTGATAGGATATTGCCATAGTCATCTAGTTGCCTAGGTGGGCGCCTAGGTGATGAGTTTTTTAAAATAAAAATACATAAATCCTAGGATAGTTCCCTAGGTTTCATAGTAATAAGTAGTAATCTTTAACTAATAAGTATCATAATCCTCCTTTTGGAGGGTCACCTCACCCTACCTCTCTCATATGAACCGTCTCTCTTTTACTTCTCTTTATTTGGTGGAGCCAGTGCTACTAGTAAACCATTTTCTTCCTTCTTCTCTTCATCTACATAAAATAGAAACCTCATAAATTTGTAGGATTTTAGCAGGTAGGCATGTAAAACAATCTCATTTTAGATATTACTTTTTGTTGATAAATGCTCTTTTTAGGTATTATTATATTCAGATTTTCAAACAGTTCAACTGTATTAAGATGATGGTAAAGCAAAGAAGCAAAATTTGGCTATTCAACACTTATAGATCTGTTTTGCTTTCTCAGACATCACATTTCAATTTTACCAAATACCACCTTAGCCTTCGTGGGATCAGTAATGAGATATTAGAGTTGTTTTAGGAATTAGAGACCTAATTGGAGTGTCCCATTGGGTTACTTAAGGATTTTTCTTAGGTTCAAAGCAATTAGAAGTTGAGTTGGGTCAGTTAACTAGTCCAAGTTGGAGCCTGTAGAGGGACATTTGAGTTCATGAGTCTATAAATAGAATCATTTTAATTGTAGTTTAGGAAGAGTTGATTTGATGAAATAAAGTTTTGTTTAGTGAATTCTAGTTGCCAGGAATTTGTCTTTTTCCCCTCTCACCTATTTCTTCTTATCAGTGATCTACCTTGCCAGCAAGAGTCCACCTCTTTCTTTTTAATTTCTTACTTTGGTGGAGAGCGAGCTGTCTATTTGCTTTTTTACCCTTATTCTTCATCTTAGATCACTCAAACCCCTTCTTTTACCCCTACAAAGCCCACCATTAGATCTTAAATTAGTAGGGTAAACAGCAAAGAGACTGATTGCTTATAAGAAGAAATAGGTGAGAGAGAGAGGAAAAAAGAGATATAAAGAAAAAGCCTTTTTGGTGCTTATCCCCTAATTGGTGCATTCTCTGCAAGGCCAATGGTGAGTCATGATACCACTTACTAATCTCCTGCCCCTTTGTTTCTTCTATTTGGGTTTGGTTTTTGTCTCTGTTTGGCCGCAGGTGGACCCCCCACGCGCACGCACACACACACACCAAACATGCAAATCCTTTTTGACTCTTCTGCTGACAGCCGGAATAAGAAGAGGGGTAGAGTTCTGTAGAGATGCACAAGAACTTCAGTTTGCGGGACAGTCAGGGAGGAAAGAAACCAAACAATTCCTGTAGAAAAGGAGAGAAATAGAGAGGAAATTTTTGGATAAAATCAATGGACCTATTTGATGATATTCCTACAGTGGTTCTGCTGAATAGTTGGAAGTGGCAAATTCAACTCCAAGCAGAAATGTCCTTCCTGCATGGAACTCACCATGTTCTGGTTTCATTAAGCTGAATTTTGATGGCAGTAATGAGGGCAACCCTGGGCCTCCAGGGATTGGTGGAGTTCTCAGAACAGAGTAAGGTGTAGTCATTGCTGTAGGCTCAATTGATATTGGGGACTCACTTCGGGCTGAGGTTATGGCTGTGATGGAGGGTGGAAAAAGAGCTAAGGAATTAAGTATTAACAAGTTTATCATTGAAGTTTAAAAGTGGTAAAAAGGTTGGTTAGGGAAGAAGGATGACGGTATGTGGCCTCATCTTAATGAACGAAGACTCTTCAAGTGGTTGACACAGGGTATGAAAGTGAGACTGCAGTGGGTTAAGTGGAGTGCTAATTCATTTGCTGATTTCCTAGCCAAACAAGGGGTGGGAAGGGGACAGTTTTTTTGGGCTGTGCTGTAGTATTCCTTGTTTTTAGGGGGGGGGGGGGTACGAGGGTTTATCTCCCCCCGCCCTTGTACTTTTTCTTAAATCTAATGAAATGTTTCTGTTATTGATAAAAAATGGAAAAAAGAGAAAATTCCTGGTAACAACCAGAATTTACTAAGCCAAACTTTATTTCATCATATTCATATAAACTCATCTTCAACTCCAATCACAATGACTCTATTTATGGAGTCAACATATAAACTTGGTGTTCCTTTACAGATTCCAACTTGGACCAGAAAACTGATCCAAATCAACTTATAATTGCTTTATAACTAAGATAAATACATAGGTAACACAAAGGGATGCTCCAATAAGGATTCCAATTTCAAAAACAACTATAATAATACATTACTGATCCCACTGAGATCAACTTTAAGGACATCGAAAAAAACTAAAAATAGTAATCTGCAAATTTACTAAAATAGTAATTACAAGAGTTACTATTAGTAGTAAATCCAAAAGTTACCATAAATAGTTATTTCCAAATATTAGTAAATTGCTGGAAAACGTAAACTCCTGTTCTTAAGAGACCTATAACTAGAAAATAAATAAATAAATGAAAACAATACCAACATCCTATCACCCAAAAATTCTGGAATTGGTGTAGGAATTGGAAAATCGGTTTGTTTCCCCTTGAACTCTCTCTCTCTCTCTCTCTCTCTCTTCCTCTCATATATAGTATATATGTTCAACAACTATGTCATGTAGACCATATAGCAAGGATATTTCTGCTCTATAGTTTGTGCAGGGATGTTATTTGGTTTCTTTTTATGGGGAATATCTGTCACATATCTGATAATCTTTGAAGGTTATCTTATAACTGTATGGACTATATGGAGGCATTGCTTTGTTTCTCTTTTTGAGGTTCTATGTATAATATATCTTTCTATTGGACATCACTGCTCCAAAGGACCTGCTATACTAAATTTCTAATTACTGTAGAATGTATAATGTGCTTAACATGTAGTAGTACGACTAACACTTGGAATGATGAAATTCTGAAGAGCTAGAGAAGATACAAATCCATAAAAAAAAGTGTTAGAGAAGACAAGGTGAGTGTTGACGGTCCTGTTGCTGAAGAGATTTTGTTGTCACAATCCAATGCAGATAAGGAGGGTGTCACTGGCTGTGTGCCTCTCCAGAAATTAATGGAAAGAGAGGTCACAATTGGTGGATAGGGAGGTCAAGATAGGAAAATCTCTCGGTTTAGTTTTTTGGGGAGGGGAAGGATTCACGAAAATAGCATTTGTGAAGTATGGAAAAAAGAAAAGAGGAGAAAAAGAAAAGGGAAGAATACCTCGAAAAATTAAGGGGTGGGATGAGGAAGGGGGAGAAGAGGAGGGACTGGACAAAATTGAGTGAACTTGGGGTTGGAGGGGAGACAGGGAGAGGGGGAGGAAGATGAGGTTTCTAGCTGGATTGTGAGGGGTTTGGGAGAAGGTAGGAGGGAGCAGAGTGGATGGAGCATTGAATTTTTGATTGCAGGATGGGCATTTTGATGGCAGTTTGGGATCTCTGTTTTCCTGAGCATGTTCAAGTGAATGAGTCTGATCTGTTTGAGAATTTTTGAAGACCTTTGGAGTTGAATCCTTGTAATTTGATTCTTTTCAGTGTCATTTCTGTTTTATAGTTGGTTTGTCAACTAGACAACCATCTTCTTGAGATGTTCGGACTTTTTTTCAGTTTAATGAATTTTCCTTTGATCTTTCAAAAAAAAGTGTTAGTGAAGAGGGTAGAAAAGAAGAAAAGAATATGTTTGTTTGAGAAAAAACTCCATAATCACATTAATATGCCCATCTATCGTACTTATGCCATTATAATCTAATTCTTTAAATTGCTATTACCCTTCTCAAGTGGAGCATGGATGTCAATCATCTTAAACTTGCCAAGAATTCTGTTTAACTTCAATCGGGTGACACCTTTGGTTAAAATTTCAGTAAGCTGGTTCTCTAACTTCACATAAGGCTCACCTTCTTGTGAAGGCATTTTTTTCTTTGATAAAGTGCCAACCAACTTCTATATGTTTCCTTAAATCATGCTACAGTTGGTTGTCTAGAATATCAATGGCATCCTTGTCATAGTATAACTTCATAGGGTTTAGAACAGTAGGACCCAACTCTCCAAATCCAAGTAAAGTCTTCATCCACAACAATCCAAAAAATATCTGAGGCGCTGCCCTGCTGTACTCTACTTTTGTGTTCCTTACCTAATTCCATGTTTAGCAGGAAAAAGTCCTTCACTATCCCATTAACAAGAACTGAATAATGACAAGTCTGAGCGCACCCAAGAATCCACCTTCTCCACCTCTCCCTAAACCCAAAATTTGCCATAACATCTCCCAAAGAGACCAATCCACCATGTCATAAGCTTTCTCCAAATCCAGCTTGTGAACTCCACCATTTTGCCCTACTCTAATAGGGGTGCAATCGAGCTGAGCTGAGCCAAACTTTGGCATGTCTTGGTTTGGCTTGACTAAAATACTACTAGGTTCGAGTTTGAGTTTGAGTTCGAATTCGATTCAAACTATATTTTCTGGTTTGTGCTCGGTCCGATTAAATATTCAATGATATCGAGTTTGGTTTGAAAGCTCCAAAATGAATAGGGTTTGACTATGATATGGAAATGATATGATATCAGAAAAACAACTGACCAATAAACTGGAATCATAAACATGGTAGTGAATCAAGTGTTATTTATCAACATTCATGGGTGGGTTTTGATTGGTCAAAACTCTTCCCATATCATATCTTTCTCGTATCATAGGCTTTCCCAAATGAATATTATATTTATATATATTATAATGTATAGGATATTCTTATATTATATATAGAATATAAAATTATATTTACATAATATATATTATAAAGTATACTTTTACATTCTATATGAATGCATGCGTGCATGCATACATACATACATGTATGTATGTATGTGTATGTGTTAATTGAGCCAAGATCGCGAGCTTTTGAGCTGAACTTTTTATTAGTCGAGCTTGAGTTGGAATAACTAGTCGAG